CAGTTCAGGCAATGAACCACTGGAGAACAGTTCGAATGGAGGCGAATGGTTGATCCCCAAGCGACCCAAACCCTCCGAAGCACGAGCCAGACTCCCAAACTGTGCTGTGAGCCCGATGGAAGGATGGACCCCCACCGTCCCTGGCCTGCCTGGTGAGCACTGGTCACAAAGCCCCAGCTGAGAGACAGCACATCCGTGAACACATCGAGCGATGGCTCGGGAAGGTGCCAAGGCACTGAACCCCGAAAACCCTGAAGAGGAAGCCGGTGACGCAGCAACCGACACAAGGCCCACGGAGGACGAACCCAACAATCGCGAGGGAGGCGGAAGGGACGTCCCCGAAGGAACCAAAACAGACGCCGAAGCCAAACCCGACCAGGCAGGTAGACGAGCACGGCGAAGTTCAGACTCCCGCACAACCACTCGAGCAACCGCCGAGTGACCCGGGACCCCCTCAGAAACAGCCAACGGCTGTCCCGCAGCCGCAACAACGCCTCTGGAGGGAGAGACAAGGAAGAGGTCCGATAATCACAAACAAGACCCAGCCAGGTCCAAACCTGGGACGGAACCAGATGGGACATCCTCCAGTTCACCAGGAACCCGAACCTGGCGAGCTGGGAAAGAACCATGTCCCTGGCGAGCAGACAAGCCGACCGACTGAGAGCCCACACCAGCCAGTCGTCGAGGTAGGCCAAAACCCGAATCCCTGGAAGAAGCAGATGGGTCACCACAATCCGGGTCAGACGCGTGAAAACGCGAGGTGCCAGATTCAAGCCAAAAGGTAGGAATTGAAAACGGTAAGCGTGACGCCCCACCACGAAACCTAACCAGTCCCTGATCCCTGGATGAATAGGAACGTGCCAATAGGCGTCCTTGAGGTCCAGGGACACCATCCAAGCACCCGGCTGCAACAGAAGCCGGACCTGAGACAGAGTAGTCATCCGAAAGGAGGGGCAAGGAATCCAGGGGTTCAGACGGGACAAGTCCAGAATGAACCTCAGATCCGCACAGTCCCGTTTCAGTACTGGAAACAGACGGGAAACCCACCTGAGGGACGTAGTCGTTTCGACCACGCCCAAGTGCACCCACTCCAAGATGACTTGATGAAGCGCAGGAGAGGAAACCTGCCTTGTTAGCCCTGAACCCTCCAAGGGAGGTCGAGTCGCCCAACGCCACCGCAGGCCAGATGACACGACCGACAAGGCCCACAAATCGTGGGACCAAGAGTGAGCAAAAAGAGGGAGCCTCCCCCCCATCGCCCCGTCAACGGGGCGAACCACGAAAGGGCCGACACCCCTTACGAGAACCCAAATGTCGAGCAAGGCGATCACCGCGCCGACCAGATGACGCCGGCCCCAAAGGGAACAATGGCTCAGAAACCAATGGCCCACCTCGACCAGCAGAACCCTGAAACCTGCCATGACCCCTCCAAAACTGCCGAGAACAACCGCTTCGGAGAATCAACAAGTCCGCCATAGGACGACAACTGGACGAAGCCGCATGAGAGAAACTGAGAGACCGCAGTCTCTGCGGGCTAATTTTCGTTTGGGGAGTTCTGTCCACCTGTTCGGTCTTCGGTCGCAATAGTTTACCAGAATAGGGGTTTGTTTTGGGGCGCCTACCTTTCTGGGTGCCTGTCCCAGTCGATGGTAGACATAGAATGCTCCCAATCATAAGGGGGGTCTCTATAGGCCATTGCTCCTCGTGCCTCTCTAGAGGGGGCCAGATTCTGGCTCGTGGTCCCCGTTAGGCTAGAACTCCATGCATTGACTGATGCCAGAAAGTTATACATATCCATTCAGCCTGGATAGCTCCGGGGAGCCGAAGGGGCTCCCCCCCAGAAAGTTGTATTATTTTGTATATTTTTTTTGTTCATACTTTCGCGTATTGTACTGGCAATATTGTTCTCTTAGAAAGGACTGGAGGTAAGCCTCACCAGAAGACGACAAATGTTCCAATAATATGGGAAGAAGCAAAGACCTTCCCGAACCTTCGAGATCCTACAGAAGCAAGCACAAAATCATGAAGGCCATTAAAGCACAGTCGCACCCGAGACCAAGAGCCATGTAGAACCTTGATAAGAGGGGAACATGACCCTGACATGACAGAGAAGTCCTGTCCCAGAGAAGAAGGGTGAGAAAACGGAGAAGAATACCTACCGATAGGATGAAACTGACGGACCCAAAGGGACAAGGAACCGAACCCTGGGAGGAGCTGGCGCCCAAAAACTCATACGTAGAGGGGGGGGGGGGGGGGGAAGAATCCCACTCCCCGTAACCGCGAGCCCCACTTAGAGGGTAGAAAATCTCGGCGGGGTCTAACGAGGCCCAAGGCCCCCCCAAGTCAAGGGAAGGGCTTCCTCCCAGCCCCTCTCCAGTCCCGAGAACCTGCACGGCAGGCCCCGGGGCTGAACCATCCCCCCAAAGCCCCAGCCTTACAAGAAAAAGCCGGGACAGCTGGAAAATTAAGGAAGGGAGCCCACTGGCAGACTCAGAAGGAGGAACAGGCTCGAATGCCTCCATCACTACTGTGGAAGAAGAAATCCCCGAGACCGCCCGAGTCTCAAGGACACCGAAGCCCCGTCCCGACCCGGAACCCACAGACAGTAAGGGTCCGGACGCAGGGAAAAAGGGGGGGAGGGGGACCAGAAGAAACCACAACAGGGTAAAGACAAGGAGGCACGGACGGAAACAAAACCGAAGCAATCAACATCCCCAAGCCCCGTACAACAACCAAAATGGGGCAGCCTCAGGGCTTCCAGGGAGCAAATAACCTGGTGCGTTGCAACCACCTGAACCCAACATGCAATGCCCATGCTGTTTGCACCTGCATAGTCAGCATAAGACTGGGTAACCAAGTCACAAACAAACAACAAAACTCGCAGGACTTTCGAAGGTGCCACTGACCCCACAGGCAGCAGACGGAGGCAAAAAACAGCGAGAGTCACCCCGAGACAAGGGGTGACCCTCGAACTCGCACATAGCGAGGGGGGGGGGTCACATCCAGAGGTCACATCCATCGGATCCACGCGCCCCCATGGGAATTCCCAGGGTCCTGAGACGGAACTCACGCTCAGGGAAGCCCAGGCAGGGTACTGCTAACCGGCGCCCAAGTCTACCAAACAGCTTTCTAAGAACTGAACCCCCGGGACGTGTACACTCACGGGGACCAAGCAGGGGGAACCACCGGAAAAAGAAAAGAGTACTCGGTACACAGTGGGCAAGAACCAAGGCAGACCCCCACTAGGCAGGCAAATAAAAAGAAAAAGAAAACTGCGCAAGAGGATAGCGTACCCAGGCGGAACAGAGCTGGCCGTTATGACTGGTGAAAACAAGCTGCGCAATACCCTGCACCCCTACCAGTGCAAATTGCCCCCTATCCTAAGGTGAACAAGGGAGACAGAACACTCTAGCACACAAAGGGCGGCCAAAAACTAAGCAGTAAACGGCCTAGCAGAGTCAGAACCCAAGGAATTTGTGGAAGGTGGCCCCCAAGCCCCATGGGCAGTACTTACTGGGCACCTAGGGAAGGAAACCCTAGGCATATGCAGCCCGAGTACTGGAGTGTCACTCCTGGCTCATGCACCACCTAGAAGACAGTCACCACACATAAGGCACAGTGCTGAAACAACCACTGGAGCCAGAACACACGACCGTTGCCTATAGCATCAGCCTCAGAACTGAAGGGTGGATAGCCAACGTGGGGGTTTGGGGCTCCCCCCATTTCCCATCCAGGGGAGGGAAATGGATGAAATCATCCCCCTCTGGATGATTAGTTGAGCTTCCAACACAACTGACATCCTGACATCATTCAATTTCAATGGACTGGAAAATAGACAGAATTTACTCTCTGTGGTTATGCAAGACATTTGGGAGACCACAGGTGGATCTATTTGCTGCAGCATGGAATCACCAGCAGTGCTAGTTCCAGAGAGACAGGTAGCCATGTTGGACACCTTTTATCTAGATGGGTCTAAGTGGAATTCCTGTACCTGTTTCATCCAATTCAGGTTATTGTTCCTGTGCTTTCCAGGTTAGAAGCCTTTTGGAGGTTGGTCATTGTCATGGCTGTGTTGTAGCTAAACTATCCTTGGTTCCCAGCCCTTCTTGCTTCTTGTCCACATTCATTACCCTTTTCCAAGCTTCATCTCTCTCTCAGTGGATCATCAACAAGACATTTTGGAGTGATTCTTGGCTCTCTGCTGACTAACAGTTTGGTTATTAAGGGTTGGTCTGTTAGGCAAAGCATTCATTATATACTCTGTTGACTGCTGTTCACAATAGCAAATAGCAATAGCAAAAAAAAAAAAAAAAAAAAAAAAAAAAAAAAAAAAAAAAAAAAATAGCAGACAACTTTTGGGCAGGCTTGAGGTTATTGCTTCTTATTCCTCATTCATACTCCTCATTATATTCTCCCTTGCTCCAAAGCCTATTTATTCTTGGAAGTCACTTGTTCTTATTTTCAATTATAGATGTTTCCCATTTCAGATTTCCCTGTCTTTGGATGTTCCTCATTCAAAGGGATAGACTGGAGGTTTTGTTTGGTGTTTGTCTTTACCAAACATTTCTCTATGACCATTTAGTTTTGTAATCCCTTTTCAGGATTTCCACAGTGTGTGCAATCTAATGACTTCCAGTTTCCCCACTTCTGGTACCTGTGCTCGGTAGGCTCGGAGATGATCACACAGGCCTGGTTTGTTAAAGCTGGCCATGGTGTAGTACCAGGGGTGTTTCATTATATTCAATGCTGTATTTATGCTTAATATAAAAATAACAATCATTTGCAAAACATATTATATAATTAGTAGGCTACACTCCTGGCTACACAAATGAAATATAAGCAATTCATTTGAAAGACAGTTTAACGTTTAAAAATTAAAAATATTTCAAAATTAAGCCTCTCCTAGTTCATTCAGATAACTTTAACCAATATTTACAAAGATTAAATACTCTGATCAGAGGATTTATTGAGAATACAAAAAAGTAAAATTAAGTTCTAACCTTGTGTATGGACCCAAGGGAAACATGAGAGTTGAGAGAAGCATCAGAACACGGAGAAGGCGGAGGGGCAACATCATCTAATATTAGCTGTGATGGTGGCTGGTCTTGTTGCTGTTGGTGCATCACATCTTGCAATCGTGCTCGTTTACTACTTGATCCGCCTTCATTCAAACTACTGCCACCATTGTATTGACTAGACTCTATCAAAGAATAAACAATATTGATCAGTTATCTTCAAAGTTTTATACACAAGTTCCCATTAACATACATGTTGCTAGCACAATGTGGTGATCATAATTACACTCGGGTAATTACAATGCTTCCTTACCGTAAATATTTTGGTATGTGTGTTAATTTAAGTGTAATGAGAGTCCACTTTTCCTTGCCTTAAACAAGTTAGTTTGTTCTCCTCTAGATGTTCAAAAGTCAAATAACAATAAAAAAACAGCGCTGAATGTAATGAAACGCCATTTTTTGGGTGAGACCTGGAGACTCGCCGGAGCTATCTGGGCTGATATGAATGTATTTGAGCCTGGCATCAATCAAGTGAATGGAGTTTTTAGGCCTACTAGGGACCACGAGCCAGAACCTGGACCCCCTCAGAGAGGCACGAGGAGCACTGGCCTATAGAAACCTCCATGTGGTTGGAAGTATTCTATGTCTGCCATCGACCGAGTCAGGCACCAAGAAAGGTAGGTGCCCCAAAACAAACTCTATCTGTTCAAAATATTGCTACTGAAAGCTGACCTATTGGACAGAACTCCCCCAAAATAAAAAAAAATGAGCAAACGAGCATGACGCCACAACCATCACCATACCGCAGTCTGCAACGGGGAGCCCCAGACTTCTGCGCCGGCTATCCATACCTTTAGTTCTAAGGCTGAATGTCAAAAAACCAGCGTTGAATGTAATGAAATACCATTTTCTGGGTGAGCCCCTGTAGTCTTCCTGGAGCTTATTAGCTATGGACATTAGCTATGGAGTTCAGACCTACCAGGGACCAGCGCCAGAACCTGGCCTCTTCAGAGAGATTTCAGGGAGCAATGGCCCTGGAAAACCCCCTTGTGGTTGGGGGTTTCTTTATCTATCATCGACCGGGGTCAGGCACCCAGAAAGATAGGCATAACAAAACAAACCCCACATGGTAAAAACTACAACAAAAACTGAACAGAGAGGTAAAAAACTCCCTACAATCCCAAAGAACAAACAATCAATTTACTGCCACGCCGGTCGTCCACGCAGCCCTCCCCCCCCGGGAGGGGGAGGGGGGGCCCCAGACCTCACCGCGCCGGCTGCCTTCAGTTCGGAAACTAGGCTTCAATCAACGCGAAAAACCCCGCCGACCGGATGGGAGGGAAGGTAACCAGGGAGCCTCCGGGGCTCACCCAGAAAATGGCGTTTCATTACATTCAATGCTGGTTTTCTGTGGGGAGCCCCTACGGCTCCCTGGAGCTACATACCCAAAGAGAAGGAATTAGGGACTTACCTGGGAGGCAGCGTCCACAAACTCTTCCACGCGAAGTCGAGACAACTGGCTGCAACTTGCGACCCAAAGCAACACAAGAATGCCGAGAAACAGCAGGGACATTCACCAAATAACGGGCGGCCAGGACCCTGTTCGACTTCCAAAATCCACGCGCCCGAATATGAGCCCAAGGCATGTTACCAAACACGGCAGCCAAAGCTGCAAACTTCCGAACGTCATGGGCGCGAGGATAGACCGCAGGCTGGCTAGACTTAATAACCCTGCGGACAACCTGGGAGACCAAAGGATACCTCCAAAGGATACCTGATTAACCAGGCTGTGACTCGTACGTCAGGCTGCGAGCAGCCGCGTCCAACAGCCTGGTTGATCAGTCCGGCAACCAGGAGGCCTGGTCGACGACCGGGCCGCGGGGACGCTAAGCCCCGGAAGCACCTCAAGGTAACCTCAAGGTAACCTGACCTGAGCCCTGGAACAGGGAATGAGGGAAACCGGATCAACCCAAAGCGCATCCCCAGCCACCTTGGCTGAAGTGCGCAGGTAACGGTGAAGTGCTGCAACTGGACACAATACATGACGCATCCCCGGCCGAACCAACCAAGCATCAATGACCCACGGACCCCTCCGGAAAGCAGCCGTCTCGTTCTTCGCCAGAAAGGACGGAGAAGGCTGCAAACGGACAAACCTACCCCCAGGACCAAAAGAGCAGTAACTCCTGTGCCGGAGGAGAGCATGAAGCTCCCCTACCTGGCCTCCAGAGGCCAATGCCAACAAAAACAAAGCCTTGGAAAAACAATCCAGAACCGAAGGGGCCACCACAAACCGAGGAGAGGAAAGAGAGGAGAGCACCCTGTCCAAAGACCAGGACAGCTCAGGAGCATGGGCAGGTCAGAGGTGAAACATAGCACGGGAAAGCTTACGAAACGGGGCGGACGTGACGTCCACCCTGAACATTAGCTTGAGCGGCTCCGCCAGCACCGCACGATACGAGGCGACAGTATTAGGCATCAAATGACGGTCCTGAAAAAGCCAAGAAAGAAAGGACAAGACAACCCGATCCGAAAGAAGAGACAACCTACGAAAAGCCAGAAAATGGCGAAAAGAACGCCAGGAAACTTCATACTATCGCCGAGATGAAGCTCTCAGGTGGGACACCATCAAAGAAGCCACCTGATCACCATAGAAATGGTGATACACCCGCGTCAAAAAGACCAGACGCGAAGAGCAGAGGAGAAGTTCGAACCAGCCCTGTACCGGACCGGGCAGACCTCCTGAAAGAGGCGGAGCTGTGGGAAACATCCCAGGTTCGGGCACCGAGCCAAGAGCATCGGAAACCAAGGCTGGGCCGGCCGCCAAGGGGCCACAAGGACTACTCTCCCTGGGAATGTCTCCAACCGAACCAGAACCCGAAGCAACAGCTGGACCGGAGGAAAGAGGTACAGGTAACCCCACCTCGACCAGTCCTGCTGAAAGGCATCCACCACGAACGCCTCGCAGTCGGGGAAGGGCTTCACATAGATTGGGAGACGCCGAGACCACGCCGACACGAAGAGGTCCACATCTGGGAGACCGTACGTCTGGCAGATCCAACGAAACGAGTCGTCGTCGACCGTCCACTCCGTGGACAGGGGATGGAAGCGTGACAGACCGTCCGCCAGAACGTTGGACACTCCCCGGACATGAACCGCACGGAGAGCCAAACCCCGAGAATCCAGCAGACGAACCACTCGAAGAGACCAACCCCAAAGAGCCAAGGACCACAGAGAACCCCACGGTTCAGGCAATGAACCACTGGAGAACAGTCCGATTGGAGGTGAATGGTCAATCCCCGAGTGACCCGAACCCTCTGAAGCGTGAGCCAGACTGCTGCGAACTCCCGAACCGTGCTGTGAGCCCGACGGAAGGACGGACCCCACCGTCCCTGGCCTGCCTGGTGAGCACTGGTCACATAGCCCTAGCCGAGAGACGACGCATCCGTGTACACATCGAGCGATGGCTCGGGAAGGCGCCAAGGCACCGAACCCCGAAAACCCTGAAGAGGAAACCGGTGAAGCAGCAACCGTCACAAGGCCCACGGAGGACGAACCCAATGATCGCGAGCGAGGCGGAAGGGACGTCCCCGAAGGAACCAAAACAAACGCCCGAAGCCAAACCCGACCAGATGGGTAGACGAGCACGGCAAAGTTCAGACTCCTGCACAACCACTCGAGCAACCGCCGAGTGACCCGGGACCCCCTCAGAAACTGCCGACGGCTGTCCTGCAGTCGCAACAACGCCTCTGGAGGGAGAGACAAGGAAGCGGTCCGAGAATCTCAAACAAGACCCAGCCAGGTCCGAACCCGGGACGGAACCAGATGGGACTTCCTCCAGTTCACCTTGGCGAGCAGACAAGCAGACCGACTGGGAGCCCACACCAGCCAGTCGTTGAGGTAGGCCAAAACCCAAATCCCTAGAAGACGCAGACGGGTCAACACAACCCGGGTCAGACGCGTGAAAATGCGACGTGCCAGATTCAAGCCAAAAGGTAGGCATCGAAAATGGTAAGCGTGATGCCCCACTACGAAACCTAACCAGTCCCTGAACCCTGGATGAATAGGAACGTGCCAATAGGCGTCCTTGAAGTACAGGGACACCATCCAGGCACCCGGCTGCAACAGAAGCCAGACCTGAGACAGAGTAGTCATCTGAAAGGAGGGGCAAGGAATCCAGGGGTTCAGACGGGACAAGTCCAGAATGAACCTCAGATCCGCACAGTCCCATTTCAGTACTGGAAACAGACGGGAAACCCACCTGAGGGACGTAGTCGTTTCGACCACGCCCAAGCGCACCCACTCCAAGATGACTTGACGAAGCGCAGGAGAGGAAAACCTGCCCTGTTAGCCCTGAACCCCCCAAGGGAGGACGAGTCGCCCAACGCCACCGCAGGCCGGATGACACGACCGAAAAGGCCCACAAATTGTGGGACCAAGCGTGAGCAAACAGAGCGAGCCTCCTCCCCATCGCCCCGTCAACGGGGCGAACCATGAAAGGGCCAACGCCCCTTACGAGAACCCAAACGTCGAACAAGGTGATCACCGCGCCGACCAGACGACACTGGCCCCGAAGGGAACAACGGCTCAGAAACTGGCACCAATGGCCCACCTCAGCCAGCAGAACCCTGAACCCTGGCACGACCCCTCCGAAACTGCCGAGAATGACCGCTTCGGAGAAGCAACAAGTCTGCCATAGGACGACAACTGGACGAAGCCGCGTGCAGAAACTGAGAGACCGCAGTCTCTGCAAACAGCAACAGACAAAACGGAGACGAAAACCTAAGAGCCAGGGCCCAAGCGGATTCCAAAAAGAGGGGGCGAGCACAGCCTGACGGCACGCGAGGCGAGAAGCAAAACACAGAGACACCGCTTCCTTCAGGATGGGCACAAAGAGCTTCAACAGTGCAGCCGACGCCCTAGCTGCCAAAGACAGCGCCCCGGACGAAGGCCCCTCATTCAACACTCCCACATCCTCCTCAAGCCAAGCAGAAGACAGCTCGAGAAGGAAAAAGAAACACAAGACCGAAGCCAAATGCCCACGGGCGCGCGACTCCTCCGCAACCAACGAAGCTGAAAGCTGAGGAACCTGCTCGTGAAGCTGGAAAAGGCCAACATCCCGAGAAAGCACGGGAGCAAATAAGCACACATTAAGGTGCTCAAACTCGCCCCCCCCAGGTAAACCTGT